TGCTAGGCCGAGCAGTTCTGAAGGAGCTGGATATCGCCGCATACGGATTCGTTATCCAGACATCGGTGAACCCAGTTCAAGCAGGTTCGTTAATTTGTGTTTGAGGGGGGTACCCCCAAATTTAATCTTGTAGGCCTGTTATCCCCACGGTATATTATGCTAAAGCACTTAAGCAGTATGGCTCATTTCACCGAACATCTGTACTTCATGCGTAATCATATCTTTTGCAGCAGCGATGCAGCGCATCGTTTTGCACCCGATTTCGGACGACGTGGGACTCGCACGCGTCGAGGTCGTGGGCGTCGTTACATGTTTTGATATATTTAATTGATGTGATGTGGCGTATGTGGGAAGTGCAGTTATTGTAAACAGTTTTGCCTGTAGTGATATTTTTAATGGGCTGAATTTGATTTCATCTAGACTCCCACATGTTTTTTTCGTATGAGATGGTTTTTCGTTTCATCTGAGAGGCTAAACTATGGTGTAGAAGTAAAGAAATCATATACATTCAAGGGGTTTCACGGTAATAGCCCGTGGCTAAAAACACGCATTTCATTCTGTCACTTTGCTGAATTCTTCTCTTCATCATTTTAATACTTCGTTTTTTTTAAATGCTTTTATCTTCTTACAGTGTTTTGTGTCTTGTCCACCTATAAACTGTGTATTTGCTTTTCATTTACGAAGTTGAATAGTGGTGAATGCATCGCAAAGAGTGGTTTTGGGCCTGAAAAATTCTCCATATCAGATTGGCTACTTGCCAGGCACCTATCAGTTAGTTACGAAATTATGTATGCGTTTCAATTTAAAGTTTTCAGTTGAGGTTGCATGAGTTTTAGAATTGATTTGCCCCGATTTCTTTCACTTACCAAAACTACAGTTTTCGGATATCTCCGGCTTTTATAAATTTAACCCAGTTGCGAACCGGAGGTTACAAGTTGGGATACAGTGAGGAGTACAAGCTATTTACAAGCTTCGTTGTCTTGTACGGTTGAAGATTGTTTTCTGAAGTCATTCTGCCTTGCCTTCGTATTCCAAGCAAGTCATGCGGTGGAAGAATGCATGCGCAGCATTACCATGACGCATCTTTACATGCAGTTATGCAGAGAGCCATAAATGAAGTGTCTCTTTCAAATTTCGAGGGAGCGAAACAGGTATTTTGCAACGCTGAAAGGAATAATACACTGCGCTAAGCGGTTTTTGGCCTTTGGTCGAAGGAATAAGCCTTTTTCGGCAGTTCTGGACACCGATTTCTGCCATTGGACTGGATTAGTTCCCCGTATACTTGCGCAGCTTCCGGAACCGGAATTGATATTTTTTGATCTTATTGACGCTTTTTGTCTCTATTTCGCCATTTTATTAAGTCTGCGTGCAGTTCTTCACATTTCGGCAAAACTGGACAGTTTAGGAGCTCCTTGCTAAATTTTGACTGAATAAATTGGGTGTTAATGTCGCGAATTGCGATCACGTGTGTCTTAATCCCTGTGCATTTCTTACTCATTTTCGGCCGATTTGATCTAAGCATAAAAATCCGTCAAAATCTCGGAGCTCAGTTGTAATTTCATCAGATACGGCCCAGTGATTCTCCTAACTGTCGCCGGTTCTTCCATTCCTGCGTTCGATCGACGCGAAACCTCAGTCAGTAGGGCATCTTAATTTGGTATTAAAGAGTGACGGCGTTCGCCGCAAGGTGATGATGCTCAGTACATAACAGTGACTTTTCGGAAAGGTCAAAACGTCGCCATGTGTATCTGCCGGGAGAATGTGTCTTCCCTTTCTGCTTCCTGCTCAGTTTGGCTGCCGAATTAACTGGCTGTCAACTGTGTCGCGATTTAAACTTTAAAAGCTGAATTTGAAATATATTGTTCGCATATCGGCATCATATAATTTCAGTTGCAGAGATTAACTGATTAAAAGTATTGCTTTTCGTTACAAATACTTTTGAAATGTCCGATTGTGCCAGGTAGATGTGCAACAAAGTTTATGCCTGTTTGCCCACACTGAATTAGGGTGCTCAACTCAGACTGATTTTTGGATTGCTATATTGCTTACAGTTCTGGATTTCAAACTTGACGTATCCATACGTGTGACATACGCGTGCGTGACTACTTATTCTGGAATCCTCTGCTCACATATGCGCAGGGAATGTCTGCGTGAAGTTTCAGCTTTCCATTTTGTCCGGCCCTCGAAATCGTTTTCGCGCCAAAAAGGTTGCATTTTTTAGGCGTCCGTACATAAGACCCATGTGCATACGCGAACGTTGATCCTAAGTTGTTGGGATGACATCCTCATGAAATTCCACCTTCCAAGGTTTTACCGTTGCTGAACTGAATGTGGATGACAAAAGCTGAACGCGCATAC